ATCCCTGGCTGCCATCTCACCAGATCCAAAACGGTTTAGCAAGTGGGAAAAGCTGCAAAATACGCAAAGGTACGTGCTAAAATTTCTAAAGAAGATAAATAGTCGATTTCTTGCACGCTTATCCATCGGAATCGGATCGGATTAAATTCAGTCGAAGTTGATACTGCCGAGTTAGTGATAATGCGCCGGTGCCAAGAAGAAGAATTTGCCTGCGAAACGAAAAGCTTAGATGGCAACGCTGTTAGACTGACAGCAGTATCTATAACCTGTCACCGTATATAGATGATTTCCGTCTACTCAGAGTCATTGGGCGAATTGACCCTGGCTATGTTTCAAATGATACAAAGCGGCTAATAATTTTGCCGCGTAGTCACGCTGTTTCAAGTCTAATCGTAGATCTCTACCACCGGCGATATCACCATCACCGTAATGAGATCGTGGTAAATAAGCTTCGACAGAAATTTTGTATCCCAGGCCTCAGGGCGCTAGTGAGGAAGGTAGCGAAACTTTGCCAACTGTGTCGCAACAGACGAGCCGTTCCTTATCCTCCAGAAATGGGGCAATAGCGCTGGGGTGTCCTATTCACATGCCTCATAGTGCGTGCGATCCACCTCGAAATAGCGTCATCACTACCGATTGCTTTCTGCTGGTCTTCAAACAATTCATCTGCCATCGTGACGTGCCAAGGCGAGTATTTTCTGACAACGGTACGAATTTTCGAGGTGCGAGTCGGATACTCATCGATGAAATCAAAAAGGTATCGTACAACACTTTGGAGGGAAAACCATCCATATATAGAATGGTGTTTCATACCATCTGCCGCACCCCACATGGGCGGCGCATGGCAGCGGATAGTGCGCTCGGTGAAATCCGTTATGGCTGATGTATTGACCGGAGCTGGATTGCGTGAGGAGACTTTAAGGTCGGTCATGGCTGATGTTGAGAATATAATAAATTCACGACCACTGACTTAGGTGCCACTCGAATCAGAGGAATGCTTTTGCGGAATTTTTTGCTCCGCAGTTCAAATGGTATACGCACCAACAGCCGACAGCAACAACGATGGGTGGAGCCTGAGAAAAAACTTCCGAATCGCTAACCAAGTAGCCGATTCCTTTTGGAAACGCTGGGTTCGCGAGTATTTGCCATCACTCACCATCGTGGTAGGCGACGTTGTCATCCTAGTGGACGAAAACAGTAAGAGAAACTGCTGGATGAAAGGAATAATAATGGAACTGCATACAGGGAAAGATGGGCAAGCACGTAGCGCGGTGGTAAAAACTTCAAGCGGGTTACTCACACGCTTAGTGGTGAAACTGGCGAAGTTGGACATTAAACAGTAAAACATGTACGACGTAGCTGCACGGGTTTTACGGAGGTGGGAATATTGCACTGGTTTGAACGGCCAAGCCGCTGCTAAACGGCGCAATGATACTCGCCGCTGAACTCTGCATTTCAGCATGCACAGCAACCCTATCGTTGTCTTTGACGTTTCCTTTTGTTTATCTTTTTCTTTTGCCTTTAATATAATTCTGAGATGTCCTGTCGCACAAAAATTTGGTATACACATATTTCAATTAAGAATCTTGTAAAGATAAATTTGAATTTGTAATGTAAATCATTTGCTATCAAATTGTTCTATTGCCTCCTCCGTTTAGTATGCCGGATGCGCACAAGTGTAAGTAATTTGATGGATATTGTATTATTCTCAATAACATTTGGAATTTTAGATTTTAGCTCTCGGTCTTACTCTTTCTAAAAAAAGAACAGAAGCTGAAAATAAGTATTGTATTCACCGGCGCACCTGGCGAAGCAATAATTGCAATGACCACTGAGCAGATAATTAGATTATTATAAATTTTTGGATTTTGGGCGTGGCGCCGCCCACTTATGACCACAAATGTGTATCTCGGTAACCGATTTATCAATTTCTAACAAACTCGGTGCATTTGATAACCTTGATACGAAAAAGCAATTCGTTGAAAATTATTAAAATCGAACTAAAATTGCACCGGTTTCCCATGTAACGGTAATATTCAGATAAACGAAAACTCCGATATTTCAATAACTGAGGACGTTGATTTACTCCAAGTTAATACTTACAACAACCTCTTAACAATAAATAAGACTGTTATAGACTTTTAGGAAGTATACAAAATTCAGTTTCGCCCGAACTCATACTTCCTTACTTGTTTTAAGTTGTGAAATATATAGGGAAGAAAGCGCTTACGCATTAGGGTTGAAATATTAGTAAATAAGTCGTGAAAACACAAAAACACGTATAGCTTTATCAACTGTTAATGTAGAGAAGGGAAACTACTGCCGAACTTGTACTTGAATTGGTTGTAAGCTCATTCTCGTTTGTGTTTTCTATTTGCTTTTACACGTTTCAATTCTGTTGAATTCAAGTTTTTGGTTCTTTAAATGGGAAAGAACGAAAGTGCCAAAAGCAAAGCAAGAAAGTTGAAACGACTTGACGGTACAGACGCATGTGTACTCGCCCCTTTTCTTCTCACCCCCTCTCTTCCACATGCGAGCAGAATTGAATTCAATACTTGAACTGTGTAAAAGCAGTGTTAACCATGATAAAAATATAGTAAGGTAGAACCGCTGAGAGTCACTTTTAAAATTCTTGACGTTTCCAAACAATTTAATTTTTAAATTTACTCACAAACTCACACACACATTTTCATTTTCAATCTCAAGCAACAACAATTTCGTACAATTTCAATTTTTTATTTTCACTTTTATATGATTTTAAAATGTTGGCAAACTTCAAAAAAAAATCATGGCCGACAAATTGAGAGAACGGTTATACCTTGTTATGTTTTTATCATGGTGTTAGCTACAAAAAGCTAACTTGAAACTAGTTGACAAGTAATGCAGGAGTAATGAAGGAGACTGTTTTCTTTAAACGCGTTTCTATTTAAATATCCTGCATGTCGCAAATAGTTTTTCGATTTGAGGAAGATCGAAATTTCATATTATCATTTTGAAGTTATGTTTGACGGAGTTCGAATATGGGACCACCTGCAGCAGAATATGGAAATAAATATGAAATGTAATAAAATAAATAAAGTAAATAAAAAAATTAAAAATAAAAATAAAAAAAATATTTTCTTTTTCCTATTGATATTTTATGTCCAAAAGTAGTTACTTACAAGTTAGTTAAATCAAATGCAGAGGTAACCACCCTTGACTACATCTAATGCATATGTAAACCACCCTTGACTATTTCGCGGCCATCGCAATAGAAATATAGTTAGTTTTCATGAAAGAAAATATACAGATAATAAGTGACTTTTAGCTCCTTCCTAATTAACTTAAAGTTAGCTTACAGTTAGATACATTTCCTCCAGGGTATGAGCAGAAAAGTGTGTTACTCAGGTGTACGTGGCGTATGAGTAACATTTTATTTTATTAGCTTTCATTTGCCGTTTTTATACCCGAGCGCACTTGTGCACAAGTGTATATTAATTTTGTTCACATAACGGTTGTTTGTAACACGCAAAACGAATCGAGATAGATATAGACAAATGTATACATAAATGATCAGGATGAAAAAAGAAATCGATTAAGCCATGTCTGTCTGTCCGTCCGTCTGTCCGTCTGTCCGTCTGTCCGTGTACACGATAACTCGAGCAAAAATTGAGATATCTCAACGAAATTTGGTATGTAGGTTTCCCTTAATCCAAGGTAGGTTGGTATTGAAAATGGGCGAAATCGGACTTTAACCACGCCCACTTCCCATATAACGGTAATTTCCAGAAATACGAAAACTGCGATATTTTAGTAACTACTGAAGATAATTCACTCAAAATTGATATTTACAATAATTTTTAGACGAAAAATAAGAATATTATAAATTTTTGGAAAATGGGCGTAGCCACGCCCACTTATGGTTACATGTGTATATCTTGGTAACCGCTGCACCAATTTCTTCCAAACTTGGCACAGTTGTTGGCCTTGGCACAGCATAAAAAACCGCCGAAACTTTTTAAAATCGGACAATAACCACGCCCACATCCCATATAACGGTAATTTAGAGAAATACAAAATCTTCGATAAATCAGTAAATATTAAAGCTAATTTATTCAAAATTGATGCTTGCAACAATTCTTTACCAAGAAATACGTTTATGGTAAAATTTTGGAAAATGGGCGTGGCACCGCCCACTTATGATCACATATAAGTATATCGGTAACCGTTCTACCAATTTGTACCAAACTCGGTATGGTTATTGTACTTGCCACGTGTAAGCAAAACGTTGAAAATTATTGAAATCGGACTAAAATAACGGCCGATTCTCATATAACGGTAAATTTAAGAAATGCTTGAAACTTCAATATTTCGAAATTGAAGGACGCTAATTTACTCAAAATTGATACACCTCGGCTTACCATCTAGCGGAAGGTTTCGGAAGGGTGAAAAAACATATATTTAATACTTGCGCCGGGTATTTAATGTTCGGCTCCGCCCGAACTTAGACTTTCTTACTTGTTCATATTGAGATTGTTTAATTGGTTCGTAAGATATACGTGATTAGGGGCCGTTTTCTAATGTAAGCAGTAAAGTTGCCTTTACTAACAGGGCAGATAAATTGTTCCTCACTTTAAAGTGTTTTGGTTTTCTTATCTTACCGGTAAAAATAAATTTGTTATTCCGTAGAGTGAAACTTCACTACATTCGTCATATAATTTCAAAGGTTGGCAATGTAACATAATCAAATATAGAGCAAGAGCAACTGTTAGCAAAAACCAAAACCTTTGTTGAAATATCTAATATATCTGACTCATGAACCAAAACCAAACCAAAATTTAAAGTTGGGTACAAATTTTTAAAGGTTGCATCGGGTGAGCAACAATTTATCGTTTCGAGAAATTAATGCGCTAATGAGAAAATGAAAGCTTGTATATCGAGACGATAAAATGGCCGGTAATCTAAAGGTTAGATGAGAAAACGGCCCTAAGTGGAACCAATTTTTGTTTTAAGCTGAATAACGGTAAATTGAAAGTATCTCGAAAACTTATCCATAGAATAAAAAATTAAATAGATTTTCGAAATCAGCGAGCAATTTTATAGAGGAATTGGACAGTGGAATCCATTGAACGTTTTTGCTGTAAACCAGTAGATATTATTAATCGATACAGCTGACATTTTTACATATTAATAATATTAATAAAATACATATTAATAATTCCTAACGAATTTCTAAGGCTAAGCTGTTGTAAGTTTTGGCTTTGGTTTGGGCTAAAATGATAATACCACAGCCGATAGTGGTGAGTTTAGATCAGTTCTAAATGTCACTAGGCTTCAGCCTATCTTATTGAACCGGTAACTCACCAAGCTCCAAAGTACTCCTTAATCTAAATGATTCTTAAAATTTCCTTATTTCTACGATTACGTTCGTACCTATATATTTCCGAATATAGATTTTGTGGTATAGATACACATATGAATGTAAAATTAGCTGATTTAAAACCAGCTTACAAAACTAATGATCACTTTGTTGGTTGTCTTAATCTTTCATTCTACCTAATAACTACTACGTGCCCTTTTCAGCACTTTTGTCTATTTTCATCACATTCTCACGCGCATTTCTTGCTCCACCAGCAACGTTGTTTTACCTCGTTGCGTTGGTTGGGGCGCATGCCTCGGCAGCGATACTAAGTGATGTCCAGTCACACCTCCGAGCGGTGATATGGATGGTGAGCGAGTGGCTAAAGGTGAAAGTGACGGGGAGAAGGATGGCGACATCGCGGTCGAAGTGCTGAATCCTCCGGGTGTATCGTGACTGATGGGCGAGCGCGGTGCCATATATTGGCCGCTAGCGTTAACTTGGCCGCGCGTCGTCGACCCGCTTAGCGCTGTGGTTGTAATATGGTGTTGGGGAGTTTGCGGCAGCCGCACACCCACGCCAGCACCGGATAATACTGCCATGTTGATTGCACGTGGCGCCACGTTTGTTAGTAGTGGTGGTGAAATGTGTGTCTTCACGGTGCCTATTGACTGCGCTTGGGACTGTTTACTCTTGGCGCTCGAGGAAGCACCGCTATTGCCGCTATGCACAGACATGTTGTCATCTTTGAGGCGAGCTATCTCAGAGAAGACATGCGCCAGCGGTTGATATTGCGGTCCCCAATCGAGCAGGTAATCCCAGTTATAGCTGCCGGTAAGCTCTTCTTCGCTGTGCACTATGGAGCTCAATGAACCATTCATGGGGGGACCAACATTTGCAGGTACATGACCGACGGATACATTTCCAAAGTTTATTACTTGATCCACGGTAGAGGCCATGCTACCGGCTGCGGTTGCGGCTTCATCTGTGTTGCTTACACGATCTGATGCCGCACCTGCAACATCGTTTAATTTAGCATAGATAAGGTTGGTGATATCTGATTGGGCGGCAGGATCTTCGTCGTACATGTGCATCTGCAGCGGATGATGCAGATGACCGTCGTTTTGCGAGCTAAGTATACCATCCGCACAGCGGCGGGAAGAGTTCGAAGCAGCACCAGTAGCCTCGCGATCAACAATGCCCAAGCGTGCCAAGTATTCTTGTGTATTCTGCACAGAGGTATTGGATATACGTCCATCTTCTCCATTGCCGCCAGTCGCGCCATTGCGATGATGTAACGGCCCTTCATTGATCATACGTATTTCTTCATCTTCACCATCGTCTTCCGCAGAACCACGCCCACTAGAGCCCGAATGTTCTGAGCCAGAAAGCTCAGATGTCGTTGCAGCCCCTGAATTGGAACTCGTCGCATGAGCGCCATAAGGTGGTATTTCATCATATTTGGGTGGCGCAAATTGCCCCATCGAAGGCGCGACTACTCCACTGCTACCGCTGCTACCCGCCAAACCAGCATTAACTGCACTTAATATTGGAATCGTATTGAAGGCGCTAGGATCGTCGTAGCTGTTTGAAACGCCAGCAGTTTCAGTGCTAAGATGAGGCTTATTCCCATTGCATGGCTTGCGACTGCGCATACGGACAAACAGAAAAATTCCGGCTGAGGCGCAAAGCATTAGTAAAATGGCTACGATTAGTCCCACTAACCAATCTGCTACTCCACTGCCACCTCCAACTGCAGCACCATTGCTCGCTAAATTTTTCGCCGGATCGCCTAAAGGATCTAAAGAGATCTCTACAACTGTCATGTTAGTTAGTGAACCTTGTCTCCCTGAGCCAGCGGCAATGACTAGGCTGATATCACGCCTATCATCAAAATTGTCATCGAGTTTCTTTTTGGTAACCACCGCGCCGGTTGTACGGTTCACCTTGAAGTAAGCATGCTGAGAGCTTAATTGATATACAATACGTCCGTCAGGTCCCCTATCACGATCCGTTGCAGACACCTGGCCCACAACATAGCCCAGCTGCAAGTCGCTAGCTGACGGCGATGGCATCACAAAGCGATAAGTGCGCTCCGTGAACTGTGGCGCGTACTCGTCTTTTGATTCAATTTCAATCCGAACCTTAACGCCCACTGTGTTGCCACCGCTATCTGTAGCGCGCAACACAAAATCGTAGCGGTGTCGTTCTTCATAGTCAAATACGGCGTTGGAAGTGACAATACCCGTCTGTTGGTCGACGCGAAACATCTTCCATGAAGGATCATCCAGTCCTACAGCCTCCTGATCGATGGTGTAGTTCAGACGACCGTATCTGCCGCGATCCAAATCGGTTGCACGGGCTTTGAATACGCTGATGCCTACTGGTTCATTTTCGCCTACAAACTCAATATATTCCGTGACTGGAAAATGCGGCACGTTATCATTTTCATCGCACAAACACAAACGAAATGACTGTATGCTGCAGAGTGGTTCCGGCGCACTGTCACAGGCGCGTATCATTAACGCGTAGCACATTGCCCCTGTGTCGAAATCTAATTTGTTGTTCACGAACAACACACCTGACACGAGGTCGATGGTGAACATAGCCTCATCGTTACCTGATGTTATATCGTACACTACTTCGGAGTAAGGCGTATTCTCTAAATCAGCATCGGTGGCCAATAGCTTTGCTATGGAGTGGCGAAGTGGAGCAAGTTCGCTAACCTCAGCCTGGTATTTGCCATTAATGGCGAACTTCGGTGCATTGTCGTTGGCGTCCTCTACAGTAACAAATACATTGATTGCGAAACTTGAGTTGTCCGCTGCTTGTGCCAGATATGGTTGTGATGAAGCGTTTGTATCACTCACCACCAATCGTAGTTTGTATAGATCATTGCGTTCGCGGTCAAGCGACTTAACCAGTACTATAGCGCTCGACTGGTAAACTTCAAAATCTGCATCCTCATTTCCAGAAATTATTTTAAATACTAGCGTACCTGCAGCGCGCTCTGCATGCGCATTGAGTATTTCTTGACCGAGGTGTAGGACGACAGTGCCGATTGGCGCAGCTTCGTTGATTTGGGCACGATATTGTGTCTGTAAAAATTGGACATGTCCATTATTACTCTTGCTGTTGCATACACGCAAAACCGTAGCGGTTTTTAAGGGCAGTAAGCCACCATCTTGCGCGGTGATAGTCACATAAAAGTCGGTGGTAACACTGCCGAGGCGTGTCATATTCACAAACACTGCTCCTGTCCGTTCATTGATGCTAAAACCACGCAATAGTGGTTCAATGCTATAATGTATCTCGGAGTTGTGGCCTTCTGCATCGGCATCTGTGGCATTGACAGTAATCAGTTCGATGCTTTCAGAGGCTGCGTATGTGCTGATTACTTGCTCGTCGGGCAGAGTTGTTGCATAAGCTGGCGGCAGCTGGGCCTCAAAAATTGGTGCATTATCATTCTCGTCGCTTACGCGAACTGTCAATATGGTGCGTACTTCATGGGCCTTGTCCGAAGCAATTATCTCCAGTTGGTATTCCTGCTGACCCTCATAGTCGAGATACCGCTTGAGTGTGAGCTTTCCGCTGTAGCGATCTAGTGCAAAAAGAGACTTGTGTAGGAGTTGTTGGGTGTCGGATAAATCGGCACCGAAGTAATATGTGAGGGATGGGTAAGTGTCTACGTCATTTGCTGAAACTGTGGTGATAACTGTACCCAATTCAGTACCTACATAAAAAGAAGAAAAGAAGTAAGAGAAAAGAAAAATATGATTAAATATGAAAGGTGCCAAATTTGCTGAAAATATTTGTATTTCTGATTATATAACTGTAGTTTTAACGACTATGTGGCGTTTTTATTCATCGGTATTTGCGGTAATTGTTCTAACTGTTATGCCGAAGCCCTACCGGATTAATTTATAAAATGTTTCAAATGGCTGTCGCTCAAAGAAATTTATATAATGGCTTAAGCCAAATCCGTAAAACTTGAAAACCGAAACTTTTGGACACCTCTACAAGTTCTTTCAGACTGCGATTTAGACATGGAAGAGAAGGCCGACATCTCAAAGGAAAAAAACCAACCAAAAGTTTTGTACCACCTATCAAAGTGCTGGCAATTAGTAGTGAATATTTGCTTAAACTTTTCACTGCAAAATAAATTAAACACGTCCCTATTAAGAAAATATCAATCGGTGTTAAAATTATAACGTGTTCGAGCAAACTAAGAACCAACTGAGAGGAAAAACTGCAGTTTTTACACATGGTTCAATAACTGATCGTGCATTTAAAGCTGTTATGCACGCCTTAGAAAACAAAAGTGCTGTGGTGAAAATTCGAATTTCGAAATCGAACTCTGTGGTTCTAAAATTCGGATGAAATCGAGTTTTTATAGAAAAAATCGAATTTCGTCTTAATTTGCAAAAAATGACCTCTGCAACTTTCTTCTTTCTGACTAAATTTGGCATCACTGTGTGTGGCACCATATATAGGCAAAATACACCATTGACTAGGTCGGCGCATCGCGAGTACTTTCGCCGCTGTATGAGACCGTCTATGCGAAATACACGATGGGGATATGTGCCAATCGGTAACTTTTTTCCGTGGTGAGACAGGGTGAAAAAATTTATTATGGTGTAAAAATGAATTAATTTTGTGGTGGCACAGTGGTGTGACAGTTGAAAACCCTAACAAACGCTCGTGCGAAAGCTGTATTTTTCTGTGTTACTGAAATTGTTAAAATATATATTTATATTGTAACGTACGCTTTCTTGTGTTTTTTTCAGCTCCCATTTTGATTTTCACTCTATATTTCAATGAGCTAGGTAAAATTCTGACGTTCGTATTCACCATGACATATGTAAAATTTTTAGTTTGATCCGTCAAAATTTCCTATTTTCTATCACAGGCTCTGAGACGGTCTGCGCATCTCGGAAAAGTACCTGCGATGCACAGACATACTTATAGTGTATTTTACCCATTAGTTTCTATGGAGTGTAGACGTCCGCTGATAAAAATGAAGGAGAGTAAACAGTTTCTGTCAACATTCTTTCAATGTAATTTTTTTTAAATGTCTGCATGTTGTATGGCGAACTGTGTTGTATGCGCATCGCGGTGAAAGTATCGATATTTTCGATGCAGCGAACGAATTAAAATTATACAAGAAAATGGAATATTGGAACTTCGATAAATGTGGTGACATGCAATAATGTCAATGACATTATTACAACCGCCAAAAGTGAAATAATGTCAATTGGCATTAAGTCACTTTGGAATTGATTCACCCTCTAAAGGTGAAATATGTAATGTATTAAAAATAAATTTTGTTATTTCGACTTAAATTCACAAAATGAAAGTGTGTTTATGTCATCGAAAATATAGCATGTGTATTGATGTCATTGACATTAATTCACTTTTCATTTTTGTATTAATGTCAGTGACATTAATTCCATTGACATTATTGCACGTCACCATAAATGTTTAAGTATTAGCTCACATTGAAATGTATTTATTTAAAAACTTTATCTAATGTTTGGTTTTCATTATGTCAAAATTACTGACATCAAAAACTGCCTTAACTAACAGCTGTTCGCTTGGTGTCATGTCAAAGACTATCGTCAAATTTTGGTGTCCGGTGATTGAAATTTCGTTTTTCATCACTGGTGGCAAATGCGAAGTGAAATTTTTGGCATAAGTCAAAAATACGAGCCGTTTAGCTATGGACAAACTAAAAATGTCGCTTGATATAACTCTTTATGCCCCCTTAAATATCTATTTCGTTCCTTGTTTACTTAAAGACCTCGCCTTAAAAAGCAAAATCAGACATTTCATTAAATAAACATACGTATAATAATTGCATAAGTGTGAAGTATGTAGACATTTCTTTTATTTTGTAAAGAAAGAAAAATAAATAAAATCACGTTATACGTCTCAAAAAATTTGTTTCAATATGCTTGCCTTGCTAAACTTTTGGATTTTCTTCCGACATTTTTTTGAGATATTTTTTTGAAAAAAATACTTATCGTTGGCTTAGTGTGCAAACGTGCTAAGTCCATTTTTTTTGTTTTTCAGGACGGACAAAAAACTGTCTACCTTTTTTGGTTGTTAATATTTCCCCTCATCAAATGCAGTTTTCTTCCTTAGTTCGTCTTCTTTCAGTAGGTACCAATAATCGGCCAATTTCAAAATACAGCTATTGTAGACGTATATGCTCTTTTGGGACTTACCACATTTTCTCTTTACGATTTTGTTCTTATAATGTGGACTAAGCACATTTTCTATCAACCTGTCTTTCATTATTTTTTTATTGTTAAAAGATTTAGTTGTTTATTTTAAATATATTTTATTGGTTTAAAATGAATAATAACCTAATACAGTCTTATTTCATTGCTGTTAACAAAAATAACTATTTTAAGTCGTAAATTTATGTACCATTTACATAGGAAAATAATTAAAAACAGGGACCGTAAATAACAGATACTCTTTTTCAACAGCTAACTTGGCCAGATATTTTTAAGTCGAAAATAAAAGTCCTTTCCTAATAATAAACAAACAAATTAAACAAGTTTGGTATCAACTGAAAGAGGACTAAAATAGCTTTAAAACTGAAATGTTTAAATGAGGAAAGCCAGCAGAAAGCCAGCTATCGAAAAATATTTAAATAAAAAATGTTTTTTAATTACCATAGAACAAACCTTGGGTCAGGTATATGGGCAAATCAAAAAAATAGGTACACCTCCAAAAAAAATTTTTATTTTTAAATTTGTGAGCACACCTATGTTTTATATATCATTTTATTCGTATTCTCTAAATAAATAGATTAATATAAGTGTAATTCATTTTCATCAAGTGCTTCAAAAGTTAGACGAGGAATAAACATGAAATAGAAAACAAAAGAATAAGCTGGGTTCAAATTACGTTGTTCAAGTTGTAAATTTTGAGCAGAGATTTTGAAAGTTGAACTCACTTAATTGGGCCGTTCTAAATTCAATGGCATCCCCCGTTTTACCAGATTGGCTCCGGTTTTCGAGATAACGGTATTTGAAAATTTTATTAAGTTTTAAGTATTTTATAAATAACTCCCTCAGTTTTGAAGTTATTTTACAAAAAATTTTCACATAACGGTTTTTTAATATTACCTTAATTATTCCTTAAAATTATCGAAATGTCGAATTATNACCAGATTGGCTCCGGTTTTCGAGATAACGGTATTTGAAAATTTTATTAAGTTTTAAGTATTTTATAAATAACTCCCTCAGTTTTGAAGTTATTTTACAAAAAATTTTCACATAACGGTTTTTTAATATTACCTTAATTATTCCTTAAAATTATCGAAATGTCGAATTATCGACTGAAAGTTAGCTGCTCCCCAAAGGAGCAAGTATGGAGCAGTACAAAAGCAAAGTAAAAAATACATTTAAAAATTTTTAACAATGCTCAGAAATAAATATCATTTTGAGTAGTAACATAAAATATTTTATTTTGAAAAAAACTAATTTATGTACAAACATGTATGTATGTATGCATATATTTTCGCNATTTTCTTTTGAAAAAAATTAATTTATGTACAAACATGTATGTATGTATGTATATATTTTCGTATGTATACCACATAGAAAAGAAAAAAACCATGTTTATATGTAAGTACACTTAATATAACCATCAAATGGTTTACAAAAACGCCATTCTTTTATTAAAACAAAAATATAATGTAAAAATTAAAATTTGCATGCATCGCTTTTTAAATGCTTTAGTTGATGCGCTCACCTAGGACTTCTTTGGGACCAGCAAGGGAGCGCTTCTTTCTACCCAACGGGGCCAGAAGCGCTCCAATAGTTCTTCTGGAGCGCTCCATATTCAGCAGTAAGCGCTCCCTTCCTAATTTCACACTTCATTGTATTTTAACATTGTGTGTCATTAGAAAGAAGCGCTCCCTTGCTGGTCCCAAAGAAGTCCTAGGTGAGCGCATCAACTAAAGCATTTAAAAAGCGATGCATGCAAATTTTAATTTTTACATTATGTTTTTGTGTTAATAAAAGAATGGCGTTTTTGTAAACCATTTGATGGTTATATTAAGTGTACTTACATATAAACATGGTTTTTTTCTTTTCTATGTGGTATACATACGAAAATATATACATACATACATACATGTTTGTACATAAATTAATTTTTTTCAAAAGAAAATATTTTATGTTAAATACTACTCAAAATGATATTTATTTCTGAGCATTGTTAGAAATTTAAAAATTTATTTTTTTACTATGCTTTTATACTTCTCCATACTTACTCCTTTGGGGAGCAGCTAACTTTCAGTCCCGTTAGGTAATGACACACAATGTTAAAATACAATGAAGTGTGAAATTAGGAAGGTAGCGCTTACTGCTTAATGTGGAGCGCTCCAGTAGAACTAATGGAGCGCTTCTGGCCCCGTTGGGTAGTACCATTTTTGTGTATGGATTGTGTACGTGAGCACTGTTTTTGTGTATGTATTATGTACATGTTTATTTATAAACGTATGTATACTTGTATTTGTACGTGTTTATTGATATATCTGTTCTGTAATGTTTTCGGATGGTACTAGCTGTTACTGCCAATATAAAAATATTTTGTTAAGAGGCAGCGAGAAAACTGTTTTCGGAGCAAACCTTTTATTATCGAAACATGCCTCATTTATAATGTGACCAACCGTACTTTTTTAGGAAGTACGGTACTTCCTTTTTAGCTCTTGTA